GGTTATGGTAAAATCAATTAGGATAGCTAATTATTTTCATCAAGCCGCGAATAGGTTGAGCTATTAATAAAAAAAATTTAGAAAATAATTTTTAAAAAATATAACCAAAAAAAAATGATGTATTTTAATTTTATTATTCATGACATGACATGAAGCCACCCAAGCTCATTTACATTGTTATCAAATCAAATGAAAATATAGTATATTAAAAAAATTTAACCAAATTCCAATATTTAAATAATTAATAACCTTAAGGAATTTTAAAGCTATATAACAAAATTAATACAACCAATTTTTTCCCAAATTTTTATAGCAAGGTCAATATCGTAACTTGAACTGCGAACTCATTAGAGGAGCATCATTGAAATTAGAGGGGGGATAGTTAGTTATGAAATAATTATCATTATTTGAAAAATTGGAAAGTGGTGAAAGGTATTTTTTTTTAAAATTATTTATATTTGGCAGGAGGTTAAAAGTTTTGAGAGGGTTGATATCATTTATTTAAAAAATAATTTTTTTTTATTGAATATGAAAGTAGAGCATTGTCATAACATATCGTCTAAACCAATAGGTTTGTTTGTTAAATATATAACTGAAGTGTAAATTTTTAAAAGAATCACTGATTTGAACAAAGACTGGTTAAAAATAACCATGGAAAAAAAATCTGACAAAAACACCCCGATATAAATTTATATGCTTTAATAAATAAAAGGAAAATGTAATCCTCGTTTTAAACTTTGCCCTTTAGTGTAATACTTGAGTATTATTTTAATAGTACTTTTCTAATAATGTTGCTTCAAAAATGATCATATTTGTAAGGGGAAACAACTATATGACTCAAGGGCTAGGAATATGAATTTTAAAATAATTTTATAATGCATGACGAAAGGTAGTTATTTTTGAAATATTAATCGTGGGATTGATGTGGTAGATAAAGAATGTGTCCCACACATATAAAAGAATTTGTAAATACCCTCATAAAATCTATATCTTGATGAATGAGTCTTAAGTAACCAGCTAAATTTTATACCAAAGTATCCTATATTTTTGTCACAAAAAAATAATGAAAATATAAAAATTTTGAGACTATTATATAAAAACAAACAAAATTTTTATTATTGTAGATAAGAATTTAAAAAATTAAACATTCAATGTTATATTAATAGCGATTCCTTTAAGATAATCTAATCTTGATCGATTTTCGAAGTCAGAAACAATTGTTACTATTCTCGCATGTAGATTTCGATATTTTTTTCTCGGGGTAGAGGGTGTTTCACCAGAATTATATTGAGCAATTTTTAACTCTGTCAACCCTTGTTGTTTTTTTAAGCCTAGGTAAAATTATATAGTTTATTAGTAAATCTTTATACTTTTTAAATCATTTTATATATAGATAACTTGATATAAATTTCCACATGTTTGGATGGTAACTTGTTAGGAGGGAACTGAAGCATCTATGCCACCCTTCAACCGCGTTGTTGGTTTTCGCTTCCCCGTTCAGTGTTGATTGGTAACAATTCCAGAGTTCAATATTAAACAAAGCAGGTAGTCTGCCTCTTCCAAACGTTTTACCAATATAAGCTTTTTCAAAAGTTTCAATTAGAGGCTGAAGTAACAATTGATTATTAGAATAAAATTCGGAGTTTATTAGTAATTCAAATGTTTCAACTACATTTAAGGGTGGCACAAACGCCAAACAAACCATCATTCTAAGTTGTATATTAAATTCTACATCTGTTTTATATTTATGCGATATTTCTGGATATTTTTGAATGTTTCGCCAAAAGGATTGGCCAAAATGGAAATAGCAACATTTGTGTTGCGAATTGGGAAACACTTCATTGAAAGCTTTTACACTGGCCATTTCAAAATCCGTCATAATTTTTTTTGGAGTTGATATTAAGTTGTCACCTATAATAGTAAATATTCTTTTATAAGTTTCATAATCCTTTCTATTGGTCAATATATATATGAGAGGTAAAACATTATTATTTCTAATCCCATGAATTGTATAAATTTGCATAAATAAAGGTGGCGACGATTTAAATGTACCATCAGAAAGCCAATGTTCGCATGAAGCTAAGAAGTCCAAATTTTTTCTTGTTCCAAATATGATAACACGGTCGGGAACCTGACACACATGATAAATAAATAAGCAATTATAATAAAGTGTTTCTTATCGGGCAGCTTATCGCAACAAAAATGAAGGATTTAGTTATATTTGTTCAAAAAATTTATAGAAAATCTTACCGGACCATCATCATGAAGTATGAAATCCTCATATTTATCCGTAATTGAATATTCATGCGGAATTACCAGCTCAATAAGGCTGCTAGGATTCGGAGGTGCAAAACTGTTTGAACTCCGCGTTCGGTGAATTATACGTTTCATAAGATTCGGTGATGGTAGTGCCATTGATATAGAATCACTTAATTGAGATACGTGTTTCGCCACAATAAAGTTTGGAGTTTCCATAGTATTATTCAAAGCTTCATTTTTAATTGAATTGATTATTTTCTTGGTTTCCATTTCGATTGGATTTTCTGGATGATTGTGTATTTCATTATTATCTTTTATCTTACCATTTTTTTTTGTGAGTCGTACGGGACATTTAAAAATATCCTGATTGATACATCTATAATAATTAGTATCTGAGACTACTTTATCCAGGCGGAACAAATAATTTTTAAAGGATAAGATCTCCTTATTTTTGCTTGATAACATATTTTATAAGACTCCGAAATAAAGAGGAAAGAATGGCGAAAATATTTATAATTTATAACCAAAGGAATGGCACCAGCCAGACGGGAAAATTTTTTTTTTTAAATTTCGGCAATACTTTTTTTTAAAAATAGTTATATTTTATCAAATATGTCATTAATTATTTGTTAATTTTTAGTGTAGCTATTTTTTTTATTATATTTTAAAATTATTTAAGATTCAATAAGAACCCATATCAAAATATTATATTTAAATTAATGCCGAGTTATTAAACTAAAAATTTTATCACGCCCCCTCCCCCCCCCCCTTCAAATAAACAGAAAAGATAAAAAGATATCTATAAAGATTGAAAATAATAAAATTAATAAATATTTTAAATTGGGGAAATCCCTTATTTCACTTAGATGTAATTTATTTTTGAATTGCCATTCAAAATTGATATTCTAATCAGTAATGTTGTAGACTTTATTCATCTACACTGTTTAAGAATAGTGACTGCCAAAACCACGGTTGTGCATTTGACCGATCAAATATAGTTAAAATCAAATAAATATTATTTTATATTGAATATCATCATTTTCTTTAATATTTTTTAATCAATTTTCTTTTTGTCTAAATCTTCAATCGATTTCTGTTTTAGTAAGATTATTGACACAAATAGACCAATTTCTTTCTGAAGAAAAAGTAGATCAAGAAATTGTTAGTAATGTCACTTCTCTTAATGGCCATGGTGGTCAAAGCTAATTCCACTGCTTGAGTTTGAAATCTGATTGTTTCTTATGAAAGTTACTGCTATCCCCATGATTTTCTATTAAACAAGCCGCTTTTATTTCTGAAATTTATGATATAGCTTGAAATATTTTGATCACCACCTTGTATGCCTAATTCTTTTATTATATTACATACTTCATTAAATTCACTATGATTAAAATGCTCTCCTTAATATTAGGAACTCAATAAGCATTGTGATTACATTTCACATGTATTTATATTGTTTTTTCTTTTTCAAACATATTTTTATATTCAGATCTTATAGAATATATGACCACTTGACCAGGTCAAATATTCTCCCGTTCAATTGACCCGTCAAAATCTAGTCATTTGACTGACTTGCTAACCCTGGCCAAAATTGATTGATAAATTTATAAATATTAAGTCATCAGACAATAAATAGGAATGCTACCCAGATATCAATTTCGCCAATAAATATCAAGATTTAACTAATAAACTCAATGATTAATATATTGATAAAGCTGAGTTCCTTGTGCGCGATTATTATAAAATAAGAACTTCGAAGGAAAGGATAGGATAGCGAAAAAAGTGTATTTCAATAACAAATTTCATAAACCAGTCTAAGTTAATTAATCATTGTAAAAAATTTTTAAGGTTATAAGAAAATTACAAACTATGTGAATTAAAAAAATATTATTCAAATAATATAATTATAAAAAAATGATTCAAAATAAATTAGTCATTATTAGCAATTACCGCGATATTAAATTCTCTATAATATCTTCGCGATATATGTTTCGCGAAATAATTGTCGCTACATTGTCTTCGCGATTTGGGTTTCGCGATAATAATTTCGCTATAAAATTTTCGCGATTAAAGTTTCGCGGTAATGTATTCGCTTTAAAGGTTTCGCGATAAAGGTTTCGCTATAAAATTTTCGCGATTATTGATTCGCGATAAAAGTTTCGCGGTAATGTATTCGCTTAAAATGTTTCGCGATAAAAGTTTCGCTATAAAATTTTCGCGATTATTGATTCGCGATAAAAGTTTCGCGGTAATGTATTCGCATTAAAGGTTTTGCGATAAAAGTTTCGCTATAAAAAATTCGCGATATTTGTTTCGCTATATTGTATTCGCGGTAATGTCTTCGCTATAAAGGTTTCGCGATAAAGGTTTCGCTATAAAAAATTCGCGATATTTGTTTCGCGATATTGCATTCGCGGAATAGTATTCGCTATTATGGATTCGCGATAAAAGTTTCGCTATAAAATCCATTCGCGATAAACGACATTCGCGATAAAAGTTTCGCGAAAAAGTGTTTCGCGATAAAATTTTCGCTGAATTGACATGGAATCTTTATATAAATTCAAATTTTTCTCCCTTTCAAATTTGAGAGTTTTTAGAAAAACCTTTTTAAGGGAGAGGTTATGATTTAAGACTCCCAAAACCTTCACCCTAGATCCGCCGATGCCGATTATTTTGAAAATAGTTTATATGCATTTTTTATTCAATACTTAAAACTAAAGATTATCCTATATTTAATACAGCTAAAAAGGGGAAGGATGTACAATTAGGCGACAAATTAAATTGCTCTGAAGGTAACCAAAGACAAGTATATACATATTTTTGCTATAAAATAAAATATTATATTTACCAACAATAAAAGAAAAGGAATAATATATTAGAAATGGGTGGTTTGTTATTCGAACATAGAATTAAAAAAAGAGACCAAAGACCAGTATATATATATAATAAATTATAAATCGAATATTGCAAATAAAATATTAAGAGACTTACAATAAATTTGACACTATCAGAATTATATACCCGCATAGCTGCATTTAGACCTTACAAACCTTACCAAGAAGTTAACCAACAAGAACAAGACAATACAGCTTAACCATAACTAATAATTTTTAAATAAATCTTATAAATAAAATATAGGGGTAGATCTTTTCCTCCAAAGTTTGCTTGCTTTTTTCAAAACTTCAATTATGTTTATTTTCTAATATAAATAAAATACCAATAAAATCAAAATTTTAATGTTCAATTTTTTAAAATGCATTATTTTTTAAATGTCATAAATGTATTTAATTTCACGCCAATTTTTACTTATATGGAATAAAAATGAATTCCAAATTATTGTTTAAATATATATATATATTTTTAAAATAATAAATATGGTTATGTCAATTTTATTCCAAAACATATAATAAATCGATATTCACATCATTGATGACTTCAAATATATAAATATTTTTCATTTCTGATAATAAAAAAAATGAATTCCAAATGATTGTTTCAAATGGCACAAGTTTTTTACAAACAATACAATTTTTTTTAAAAATAATAAAAAATAAAAGTGTTATAACCAGCATGTTTAAAAACACAAGCTCGCTTAAATCCTTGATCCTTATTTTATATGTGAGTAGACCTCCGCCGGCATTTTTATTCACGCCGGAACAACCGCGGATTGAGATCTTTAAGGCGGCAGCGCGGCGTGTATAATTTTTAGAATGCTGTTTAATTATATATATATTAAATTATTATTATTTAAATTTGAATATTAACATTAAAAAAAATTAACAAATGAATTGTATTCTATTGCTATATATAATAGAATAGTGTATATCATTTACATATATTCATACATCGTATTTCATTTCCACAAACAATACATATTAATTATTTTTATGGACTTGCACGTTTTAAACTACCCTATATACAATTCTGAAATAACAACTTTCCTACTAATCATTAATCAAGTTATGACTGGAGGTAATTTGGAAATCTTTTTTAAAGAATGAAAATAAGAAAAGCAATATTTATTGTGACCTTGCTTAAAATTAGAGAAAAAAGATTAGGAAGATTCGGATAAACATAATCCATTTTATTGATATTCTCATTAAAAAAATTAGAGAAATTATTTCAGCCCTCAGATATCGAGTTGGAATGTGAAATTGAGGAAGAGCATCGTAAATGTCTGCAGTCAATTTTTAGACAGGTCATATCATGGATATTGGTGGATCTGATCCATACTTTGATGACCATTTTGATATGTCTGATGAATCGGATAAACCAACCAATCTAATTAATACAAAAACATTAAAATTAAATTGCCCTTCCCGCTGCTAAAGCATATTAGTTATGCTAGAAAGTGTTCGTAGTGTAAACAAAATTCCTATAAATAAGGTTCTAAATAAAATAGGAAAACAATCCTTAAAACTCTTTAATAATAAATGGGATATGATTGATGAGCTTTACGCAATTTTAAATCCCAGAGAGTCGGTGAAATATTTTCCTCCCAAAAGGGATCGTCAATAAACTTAGGGTTATTATTTCGCAGTGAAATAGAAACCCTAAAGCAATAGATCTGATTGCTCAGATATTATTTGCCTAAAAGAAAATATGAAAGTTTGACCATAGGTTTTCCATTACTGAACTTCAAGTTATTTTATATTTTTATTAATAAAATGATATTTTAAACATTAGATATTATCGACTCTATTTGATCCCAGATTTCAAAATCTTAGAATTGTTTCAGAATATTTAAATTCGAATTTTACGACATCATTGCAATTTTTAATTATACATTTATAACTTTTAGATGATAGAATTACACAGAATAATTCAAGTTGAAGATAATGGGCAAGCATCAGTTACTATACAGCTAAAATAGCTCGTGAACATTCTCTTCCAAGCAAAGATTATAAAAACATTAGTAATGAATGTCATATTTTGCTCAGCCAACATAATATCCCAGAAGAGGATTCACAACCTTTTGAAAGAAAAAGCGATGGGAACTTCCTAGGCTTGCTTATTTAGCTAGGAAGGTTCTTTGTATACCTACAAAAGAATTTTTTCCATTGTTGGATTTATACTCAATGCAAAAAGGACTTCTTTATGTCCCACGAATCTTGTTAAAATACTATTTATTCATGACAATTATATTTTTCTGAATCTGAATTCTGATTTATTATATTTTATACTTTATATATTGCTTGCATTCCAAATTTATATTTTAATTTGTTATAATAAAAATCAATAGAATATTACTAATATGTGTTGTTTATGTGACTTTGATCTGAGTAAAAATGCAATTCCATAGTTTATTTCTGAGAATGAGAAAATACATAAATTTAAATTGGAATGACAGAGGAAATAATTTAAGAAATGAATTAAACTATGTTAATAATGTGTAAGAAAAGAGCGCACAAATAAATTATAAAAAAAATAATACTTTGATTATAAATTAAATTCATTAAAAAATACAGTGATTTATAAATTAAAATATTTTTAAATAAATATTGCTCCGCCGCCGAACGCCGATAAAAAAATTAAAAAATAACGCCGCCGTCGATTGAGACATCGGCGTACAGGTCTACATATGAGGCAGTTAAAAAATTCCCTCCTCTCATAAATATAAATAATAAAAAATGAAAGTTTTTGCGAGGATGTTTGAAAACACAAGCTCGCATAAATCCTATGATCTTTGGTTTTATACGAGTTTATGCACTATGATTAAAAATATTCAAATTCTACAAAGTAAAAAAAATAAATAACGAATTTATATATAAAAATTGTTCACATGTCTTCTCGTTTCTTTTTTTTTTACTATTCGCCACTTCATATATCCTCAGAGTATATGACAATTATATCATTAATTTCATTCAAAAATAATATTGTAATCTCATTTTTATTAAGGAACTTACGTTTTGGTTTTACCATTTTATGACTCTATTTAAGTAGATAAAGGAGGGAGCAGGGGGACAAACCCCCCCCCTCCACCAAACCAAAAAATACTGATGCCGTATATATTTTTCAAAAATATTATTGTTTATATTAATTTATATTTTATAATATTTATTCCTATCTCTTTCTTTTTAAATATATTTAATTATATTTATTTATCCATTTACTGTTATTTTATCAATTAATTTTGATTTAAAGATTATTAGTGCTCTTACTGGTGGAATATCATAATGGTCTGAAAGAGATATTTCCTCAGAAGCAAGCAAGTTATTGGCTTCAATACTTAAACCAATTTTTTTTATCATTAGAATGCATTAATAAATGATTTAATTATAAAACTATTTTATGTAATACTTTTCAAAAACATGACATTGACTTGATTGAGACGACGAGAATAGCGGAGAGCATTTTATTAGAACTCAAGGAAATTAGGGCTAGTGTTGATGAAGAATTTAATATCTTATATGTTATTGTTGGGTCAAAAGCCAAGCTATACGAGTTTAAGATTTGTCTTCCCCGACTTGCAGCAAGGCTAGCTTACCGTCCAAACATTAATATAGGGTTAGTAGAAGAGTATTATAAAATAAATGTCTTGAACGGTTTTTAATTCATCAGGCAGCACTTACCAATCTCCAGATTTTACTTCCACAAAAGCCTTCCCAACCTTTTTCAGATGGCGATAGAAAAAAATGAAATATTTGGCAGATTCTTATCATGAAGATGTTAAAGTATCTTATACTGCCTTATTTGCTGAATGCCAACTATGCTATAAAACATTTGGTTGATATAGTCCCAAAAAATGCTATGGATGCTTTGCATCATTTCAAAGATCTTTTAGATTATTTTCCTAATGTATTAACATTATAATATATATTAGCAACCATTAGTTTTGCAACTAATGAAAAGAAGAATAAAAACATACCTAAGAGAAGTACAATTTCTGAAAATAGATTGAACGGTTTGGCCCTTTTGAATATTCATAATCATTTTACGCCAAGCACGGATGAGATAATTGAAAAATTAGCTCAATCCCAACGAAAATTGGATTTAACATTATAAATATATAAATATGCTTATTAATAATATTTTTTGTGCAATGTGTTATATATTTTTTCATGAATATTTTATATAATAAACTTGTGTATTAATTTATATTTCCAATATTAATTTTTTTTATTTATATATAAATTTTAAAGGCTCAAAAAATTAAAATTTTTATTTTGGATCATTTATTTTATAGTGATTCATATCATATGCTGGTTATATCCACTAAATATTTTATATCACATTTATTTTATAGTTTTTCATATGCCGCCGGTTATATCCGTTTAATATTTTTTCACATTTATTATAGATTTTTATATGCCGGTTTATATATTTAATTTTTTATAATTCATATTAATTTAAAATTGTGTATTAGAAATAGTTATTAGTCCTAATAAATTTATGCTTGATTTTTTTTAATAACAATAATTTTATCTTAAAAAAAAATTAATTTTACCCCCCCCCACCCCCCCCCCCCCCCCCCCCAGAAAATTTTTGCGTACGCGCTTAATTTCTACTAATTTATCTGATCACGCAGAATTTTTATTAATGTCATGTCTTTATTTTAGGCCCCACCTGGATTTTTTTTTATAATATATTATATTTATTTTTAATTTTTATAGATAATAATGGACTTTTAAAATATTTGAACCTCGATATTTAGAAATTTTTTTTTAGTCCATATAATAAAAATCTTTAGGCCTGGCTGGGTATATCTAAAAAATTAAAATATGGTCCGGTCCATGTACCCGGGTCGTGCCGGGTTTAGGGCCAGGCCTGCAGGTCTCTGATATTTGATAAGGTTAAAAAGTATCTTATTGAATAACATTATTTCAAAATATAAAGAACTATTTTTATATTATATTTTTGAAAAATGTTATATCTTGTCTTGGGATTTATAATTATATACGATTTAAATATAATAAAAAATAATTTCATAGATAGATGAAATATTTAACTTTAAAATCATTAAAAAACAATTATAAAGGTAATTTTTAATCGTTGAGCAGTCTTTGTTAATATAAATCTATGATTGTTTGTAAAGCTATATAATTTAAGATTAATTTCTTTGCTGCAGAGAATTTGATAGTGTTATTTAGGTGAGCACTAATGTGCATTGCCTGAAGGTCTATATGCCATTAAAGATTGATCATAATCTTTCAACCAAACCAATTTAATATTCCACAATTGTTCCCTCGATTATTGCTTATCTAGCTTTTAATATGTCCTCTAAGAGGAAGTTCTAACTAACTACATAATATTATCATATGGATTAAACATTTCATATAGTATATTCCCTTCTTCAAGAATGGCTGATTTTGATAGAACTATA